GACTCTGTGCCTCTTACAAAGAGAAGACAATAAAGTTGTTGCCTGCGGTGATTGTTCCAGCGCAGGCAGACGCATGGCTCCTGCCGTCATTTCAGGCCATCACTGGTAAACTGTTTAACAGGAAGAAAGAGTGTCATTTAGGGCACAGGTCAAGTGGTTTAAGTCATTTAAAAACAGATTATTTCTGATATGTGACAAGAGGCTGGGTGTGACACGCTCCCCGCGGAAAACTGGTGACAAGTGGACGCAAGTCTCTGACAACATCGTATTTATCATACCGATGCTGACATGTGGAGGGGAGACATTAAGGCACCCCTGATGACAGATGTATGACACTGACATTCTGACACTGGGGTGACACAACAGACAGTAGACTTGCAGGATGTCTTGATGACAGGTGTGACAGTGACGGACAGACAGACATCAGGGTAATACATCAAGACAAGACACTTGCAATATGCCTTCGATGAAAATTTAAAGCGTTGACAATAACAGATGGACAGGTAATAAGAAACAATATTTTAAAGAGATGAAATCTCATTGCTGAAACATTAAAGAAAATTCATAAATCAATAAGAGGTTAATTACACAAGGAAATTTAATCAATATCAATTGAAAAAACCCAAAGTAAGAAATTCTCGACACACAGAGGTCACAAAGTACTATGAATGTGGACACATCTGACAAAGTATACCATTTCAAAACCCATTAGACACAAGGCAGCCCATATCCTCTCCAACCTATCAGATATACAAATATTTGGATCAGTTGCAGTAATATTCCTGTTACTATACATTGCTACCACACCCTATTGTAGAGATGGACACATTATTGCTGGGCGCATTCACTGGGATGAGATCTATGAGGGAGTAAAGAGAGAGTATGTCACACATGGGTTTTTATCGTAGGATATTGTACTGAGTTCACAGTTTGCTGTCAGGAAGTCAACTACTCCCGCTAAGTACAATATACTTTTTGTTCCCCTGTTGATAACACACAATGACATGTAGTACTATTTTTCAAAGGCTGTATATTTGAAAAGAAATGATATTGTGTATTGCTTTACATCATGCTGAGCTATAAGCTTAAGGACAAGATAGTGCAATTCTCAGTATCAATTCAATAATTTATTGATCACCACCAAAATCTCCAATTCTAAGTCAACCCATTTCTGACTTATCCCGAAAATTTTATCCAAATCCATCTATAAATATTCAAGCTAGGCTCCCAGTACTAACAAACCAACCTAGACAAAAACATAACCTGCTTAATGGAGGTAAATATGACCGGTTCAGAGCTCATGGACCTGATACCCCATGTGACCTGGTCTACAAAAATGACAAGAAATCAGATAGAGCACAAATATATAAGAAATAGTAAAAGATACCAGGGGCTCGAGAATGACACTAATGAAATTCTGAGTTAACAGATGTTGCCGGAGATTCTGTTTCTTTTGTAGAGTCACATCTTGGACTATTTTGATTAATGGAGGGTTTCTGGTTATTATTGGCCAGGTAGTAAGTACAACCAGTGCTGTACGGAGGATCAGCACACATGACACGCTGAGAAAGGAATGTCTATGCATAATGACAGCAACATATTTCTTCTTTTTTTTTTTTTCAATAACAAATCTGGAATCTTGTAAATCTTCGGGACTAGACAACACAATGTGTTAAATGACTGTTTTTATAAAAATCTCTCCCCCCCCCTCCCCCCACCAAAAAAAAAAAAAAAAAATTTCAAAAATTGCCTTACTTGTATTCCGCTTATTTTGTATTGATCAAAACCTTGAAAACTTTTAATTCTGTCACTGTAGCGTAACTAATCAAGGATTATGGCAAGTCAAAAGTCAGACAAACACTTTATCTCCGATAACCCCTTATTTTACCACAAATATGCTCTGTTTTGATTTCATCTCCAAGATTAAATATCATAAGTGTCTTCAGCATCTTATAAGTATTTATCCTAAAGAACCCTGTGGTAGCAACTTATCACTTAATTTTACCACAACAATGTCATTTTTAGCATTTTTCTCTTGGTCACATGTCACCTGATCGTTTCTTCGTGTTATCAACCTTTTAGTATCAGTATCCTTATCACCAATATTAGGAATCTGACACCATGTTTTTTGTCATTTTTGTAATGAACATGTACTTTTGTTACTTCCCATAAGTAACACAGATCCACACACACAAAAAAAAAAATCAAAGCTGATAGAAATGAGCCTAAAATGAATGATAATATTTAGTGCATTTATTTGCCATTTCATATGAAACACTTAGGCTGTATTCCCAGAGCTTTTAGATCGATCTATCCCCGCGGGGAGTCTCACTAGATTACTGTCAGATAATCCGGCTTAAATGTCCGTCACACCTACTACAAGCTGTAAGGGGGTAATTAACTTTCGTGTCCGCCCGGATGACAGCTATTTAGCGTGAACCCCCAGGGAGTTAGGTCGATCTAAAGTAGATCGATCTAATCTCTGGAAATGGGGTCCTAAATACCCCACAAGATTCACAGCTATCCTGGTGCATGTTACCAAGATTTCTAGTTAAGAATTTAATTTTCCTCTTAACAATATCATGGACAAGACTCTCATTAACACCAGCAATTAAAACATATCAATCAAAACTGTCAAGACAGACAGCAGGCGAAACCTGTGAACTTGTGACACAATAAGAGAACCACAATGAGATGAAACTTTTTTCTCACTCACTATCATAAAGGCAAGAACCCCCGACACAGATAATTAAAATTATACATTTGATAATTAGATAATTGGCACAGCTCCTTTGAAGTCAATCAGTTAGAGATCTTCTGCAGATAATTACAACATAATTATTACATACAGAAGAGAGAGAATCATTAATATCGCCACTATGACTTAGAGATAACATGAACTGAAATTAATTGTATTTTTTATCAATGTTATATGCTACACTCCTCAAATTAAGCAATGTATCGCACATCTTACAACACTTCAAACATAATTACATCACTGTAAAAAAACAAATGAGGAAATCCCTGAACCCTTGACACCATTAACACCCTTAAATTACTTTCCCTGTATCTTATATTAAGGAACTTGTTTGTATCATGTTCTCTGATTGGCGTCCTGTGAGACAGTGAGATATTAATTGATATAAAAAGGACGGCTGACAAACATTAACCATGGGTGTCAAGAGATAGACCCCTTGGGTCACTTAATTTAAGTTTTCCTTAAAGCATATCAAGACATTAACTCAAGAAGGATAATGATTTTATTGGCCAGTTAAGGGGTAATACCATGGTCTTGACATAATTCATTAAACACATTTTAAGATAAATGAAATGGCTTGGTCATTTTCACTTTTTTAATACATATTTTCAATATTATGTAGGTTTTTTAAATGCTGACCATGTCCAGAAAGGTGAATGTTAATGTCAAAGAGGTTATGTTTTCCACATCAAAAACGGGAGAGGGGGGTCTGTACAAATCGGCTGAACTCTCATACATCATTAGATGATAAGAACATTTAGGACTTCTGATAGCAATCAACCCTCCACCTCCGCAGAAAATCTCCAGTTGATAGGGTATCTTGGAGATAATAAGGGTAAAGTGTCAAGTGCCATGTGTCAAAACTCAGCCCCGCCAACACAAATACACTCTGCTCCAGAGCAGGACAATTTTTTTCACAAAGCAAAGAGTGACATGTGATAGACACACACACATGTTACATTACCTTTCCCCATTAAACATGTTTGCTAAGGTGTATAAAGAGAGAGAGAGAGAGAGAGAGGAAGGGAAAAAAAGAGTGAGGGGGGGGAGAGAGAAAGAAGGGAAGAGGGAAAGAGGAAGAGAGAAAGAGAGAGAGACTGACACATGTCAAGGCATATCTATTGGCCAGAGAACTTGACAAGGTGAGATATGGTATTGACTTCTTCACATTAATCTGCATCTTTATTTGTTCAGGGAGGCAAACTGTCACAACAAACCTTCAAAATGCCCTCTACTTTGTAATCAACTGATCAATAGTGAGATTTCCGTGTTTACAATTTAAGGGATCATACTTTCAAATTGCCAGGTCTCCATAGAAAGCATTAAGCCCTGGAAGTAAGGTGTTCTGTTTAGGTTATATCAGGGTCTCTTTGAACAGAGTACATGTAAAGTCAGTAAGAACTGGAGCCTACAAAATCATCATGTTCATGTATTACTTGGACTTTTAAAAGTATTAATGATTATCCATACACATGTATCTAATACACTAGACTCTTTAAAGTTTCTAATTTAATTTTTAACCTTAATTTAAATATACATTAACCAGGGATTAACATTTCCTAATCATTGAGAACATTTTTTAGAAATATATATCTTTGTGAAATTCAAAATGACGAAACATCTGAACAACTGAAAAAATTGGCCACAAGTGTCACTTTTTTCCTCAAATAAACTTATCAGTTTAGTTAAATTAATTGACTTGGAAACATTGCAAATATGTCAAATGTCAAATTGCAAATATTACAGCTACATAATAAATCCCTTCTGCTTTCTTTTTTACTTAAAACTCTGCTTTCTGTGTTTTTTAAATTCTTGTTTATACATCTTGAGGGTTAAGTTTTAAGTTTCAAGGGCCTTGCAACTGTGTGCATTTTTAAAATTCAGTTTCCCAGCCTTACTATTCCTTATAGGGGCCAGCATTTTGATAAATTTCACACGCATGATCAAAGATAAACCCACACCAGTGGTCCCTAAATGATTTCATTCTTGTTTCTTTAGTAAACTGAACATTTATTTTTATAACATCAAAGAGGAACACCTTGCTCCATTATGGACATATAATGATAGAAAAACACAGTGAAAGCAATGTAGTTGACTTCCCCTTGAAATTTACCTGCACCATTCATTCTTGGCATAATTTGTGTTTGATCGAAGGTTTGTCTTTTGTTTAACCTGTTTTGAGAGCTTGTTGGTTTAGACGGGGGCACCATAGCGCAAGGTCAGGTGTAATACATATTTATTCCTTATGCAAATAAGTAGAAAAATGAATGAAAAGAGACATTTTTTGCTATGTTTGATAATTAGGTCATTGACATAGTGGCGGTAGGGAGTCACCCAGACGACCCGTTATGCATACGTAGATCGCGAACTGCGTTTATGTACGAATGAGGCACAGCTGGAAATGACGTAATTATTAAAGGTGGCTGGAAAATAGCGCCGCTAAGGACTGGATTTGAACTAGCGGAAAAACTTTTTGAAGACAGACTAAGCGGAAAGGAGGAAAAAGGACTTAGAAAAGAAGCTGACGGGGAGGGAGGAGGTGAACGAAATAAAGTGAGAGACTTACCGATCTGCTACTTTAGCTGTACTCAAATTGTCAAACTGTCCTCTATTGTTGTACGTATAGTAGTAAGCGTTGTCGACGGCTGCACGTCTCTCTATAGTTGACCGCTCGTGCCGGAGGCTGGATACGATCTGACCGCTACTGCTAAGATCTTCAACGCGCACATGTGGGTCACATGTCAATTAGGACGCGTAACGATTGGTCAAGATGATGTAAGAAGTGCGGTAGAGGCACAAGTGGCTGTATAACGGCGCCAGGGCGACTCCCTACTTATTATGTAACGTCATAAATGGGATTGCGTCTAAGGCCGCAATCTTGTATTTATTCCTTATGCAAATAAGTAGAAAAATGAATGAAAAGAGACATTTTTTGCTATGTTTGATAATTAGGTCATTGACATAGTGGCGGTAGGGAGTCACCCAGACGACCCGTTATGCATACGTAGATCGCGAACTGCGTTTATGTACGAATGAGGCACAGCTGGAAATGACGTAATTATTAAAGGTGGCTGGAAAATAGCGCCATGAAAACGCCAGGACATGTGTAGCATGTACCTGGGGTTTTTCCGCCACCCAAAAAATGTAATTAAAGAAAAAACACCTATAATGAGATATGAACAATTTAATTATTGAACATTGATGCGTATATGAGAGGAAAAGGATATTTAATTTAGTTTTGAAGTACCTGGAACCGTGTTGTAAAGTCCTTTGGTAAAATTTTTTGCGTATCAGTCCTTTGCTCTATAACAATATAAGCGTATAAAGTTGTTGTAAAACTATGCTGTCTTTTAAAAATGCTTAAACCACTGCAATCAGTGGAGGGGAAGTGACAAGTCCATGCTCCTATAGACGTATGTATATCTTTAACGTAATCGGAGCGTCGTCGCCCCGAAGGGTCAGTTGGTCGTACATACCCTTGCGTTTCAGTATATGAGTTCTATAACGAAATAAACGTATAAAATTGTTGTAAAGTAAGCTATCGCTTATAAATACATAAATCTCCTGTAATCGGGAAAGAAAAGAGTCTAGTCAATGGTTCTAAAAGCGGATGTATTTCTTGAAAGCGTTGGAGCGCCATCGCCCCAATGAACGGATCTGTTGGTCGGACATACCCCTGCTAGCAGCTAAGGTTGCGCCCCCGATACGAAAACTATGACTTCTTATGTTCGTGTTAGCGATTGAAGCGGACGCAAGGCATACTTGTAAGGCTCTGTTGAATTGGGAACGCCTCACTGGAGACCCGTCCTGATTTACGAAGAGGTGGGGGTAGGTGGAGGCCGGGCGGGCTTGGAGGTAAGCTTTACAGATGGATACCGGGCATATCGTAGGTTGCGAGATGATTGAAATCTGGAAGTTAGAGGTGACTGATGAGTGTTTAAACGATCCAAAGGTTAGAGTCAGTTGATGGCTGGTCTGATCGTAACGTAGATCGTCCCGTAAGAGCGTATGAGGCGATGGTCCTGCCGTGATCTCACTAATGCGCAGTAAGCCGAAAAAGGCTAAAGAGAACATGGCCTTGTACAGGATTGCATTGTAACTCGAATCGAAAGCGTGCGAGGCGGCGGATACGAGTTTTTCAAGGAAAGGTAGAGTGATTGGCAGGCGTGTGTCCTGAGAAGGCTGTAGTCTCTGTAAGCCCTGAAGCGTCTGACGCACCAGGTAAGTGGCTGTGGGGTCCGTCATATTTCGCATTTTGTATCTGTAGCTTAAAGCTGACATGAAAGTTTTTATGGAGTTGGGCTTATAGCGGATCGCCAAATATTGAGCAAAGAGCGCCGTTATCGTAGCGTCTGCGGGGAAGGGTACTAAACCGGTGGACGCCTGAAAATCCTGTAATAGGTTGTCGATTTTTCCGTACGAACGTCGCGTTGAAGGGGCCAAGGCTGCGTTGATTGTATTGTTTAGTCGGCCAGTAAGATCTCGGGTGACAGATGACTGGGCAGCGGAACGGGATGGGGTGTGGCTGTCGTTTGCGTAGAGCGGAAAGTCTGAAAATCGAAGCGAGAAAGAGCGTCAGCTGCGACGTTGTCAGAACCTGGAATATGTTCGGCTTTGAATAGAATGTTGTAGGATAACGCAACAAGGGTTAGTTTGCGAAGTAAGCGGAGAATAACTTTTTCTTTTGTCGAACATTTGTTTAGAACGTATACTAGCGCTTGATTGTCTGAATGAACGATGACTTTTTTGTGAGCGAAAGTGTCACGCCATAGGCTGAAAGCTGCCACTATAGGATACATTTCAAGAACGGCTATGTTTAATTGTTTCAAGTGATCCGCCCAGGGTCCCCAGAACCACAGAGAGTTGAGTATCGCGCCGAACCCATGTTGGCTAGAAGCGTCGGTGTACAGGTGAAGGGTGTTCGAACCTTCCCATGCGTCGTCGTGGAAGAAACCTCTTCCGTTGAACTCGAGTAGAAAACTTCTCCACATATTCAGGTCGGCTCGAGATTCGCTGTTAAGACGGACTTTGAAGTATGGCTTAGAGACCCCTATTGTCAAGTTTATGAGTCTGCGAAGGAAGGCTCGGCCAGCGGGAATGATGTAGCAGCAGAAATTTAAGAGACCAATGATCGACTGAAGCTCTTTCAATGTGATTTTCTTACTGCGGAGGTGAGACTGAATTAACTCTAAACACCTTGAGATTTTTTCGGCGGGAAGTCGGGCCTCTTGCTTTACCGAGTCTAGCTCAATGCCCGCGAACGTTATGGTCGTGGCCGGGTCAGTTGTTTTGTCTGCAGCGATGGGTATCCCGATGTCCTTGCACGTATGAAGAAATTGTTGCAACTTGTTCGAACAACCTTGGTAAGAGCTTTCTACGATAAGGAAATCGTCTAGTAAGTGAGTCATGTGGGGAATGTCTAGCTTTGTAGCTGCGATCCACTGCAGTGCCGAACTAAGCTTTTCGAAGAGGCTGCATGAACACGAAAGACCCATAGGCAATGTTTTGTCGAAATAGAAAAACTGGCGATGTCGAAAGCCTAACAGAAAGCGGTAGTCTGGATGAATCGGAATGATACGAAAAGCATTTTCAATGTCTGTTTTTGCCATGAAGGCTCCCTTTCCAACGGTCTTGACTAAGCGTATGGCGTCGGCGACTGTGGCGTATTGCACTGAAGAATGTTCTGGGTTAATGCCGTCATTAACCGAATGGCCTTCGGGGTGGGAGAGGTGGTGGATAAAGCGAAATTTGCCTGGGGATTTTTTGGGGACGACGCCGACAGGGGAGATTTTAAAATTTGGAAAAGGAGGGGTGGCGAGAGGGCCCAATAAACGACCCGCTTGGACTTCGGTGAGAATTTTGTCGTCTAACGCTTGGGAAGTGTCGGAGGCGGACTGTAAGTTTTTAGTAGAATTTTGAGGGAGGGAACCTGAAAAGGGGATTTTAAAACCTTCTGAAAACCCCGTAACTAGAAATTGAGACGTGACGATGTCGTAATTTGTGAGGTAACGTTCGAGGATCTGGGGTTTTACGGGGGTGGTGATGGACTGGTCCTGATTGTACGGCTTGTTTTGGAGAATGGCCTGCTGGAGAGGGGAACTAGAATCTTCGGAAGCTGGGTCTGGGTTGGTAGGGGGAAGGGCCGGAGGCTCGAAAGGAGTGGGATCGTTGGCGGGACATTTTGAATGGAGAGGGCTTTGACGAAAGTTGGGGGCAAGAGGAACGGGGGTGACTGCCCCTGCAGCCCATGCATTGGTGGGGGAAACGGCACGTGAGCGGGTTGCATGGCTGTCCCTCGTTCCAGCGAAAACAGAAGCCAGGTCTGGAGGCTGATTGTGGGACTTGGTCTTGATCACGTCTCGCAATGAAAGTGACCTCCGCCAATATAACTCCGTTGGGGTCCTCCCAGTTGAATCCAGGGGACTTTTGTTGTGCTCTGAACTTCTCGTCGTAGCGACGCCAATTTGGGAATTTGTTGGCCTGCATTTCGAGAATGCGGTTTGCGTAATGAAGGAGGCTCACTGCTTCCGTTGGGAAGCGCTGAAGGTGAATGACACTAAAAACGTGGAATGCGCACTGCCATTGATACGGGGTTATTGGAGACGAACGTTTGTGTGCAGGAGCCAACTTAAACGAAATATTCCCGTCGTCGTCGACATTGGGCTGTGTAACGAGTTGTTGGGGCGTAGAAATTTCTGAAGAAGTAAGCGTATTTGACGAGGGGGGAAGGAGCGATTTCATATCCACGAACTCTTTAGCCCAGATTTTTTCCCTGAGGCTCTTGGGGACATGCTGGTCTAAAAGTGAATAGTGGCTCTTACCTTGAGAGCCCTGGTCCTGAGCCGGGCAGTGGAGGTGAGTGGGTGGCTGACACTGTGCCTGGTTAGAAGAAGGATTACCCATGTAACCCTGAGAGGACGAAGGACCGGGATTAGAGGCGTAACCCGTGTTACCCTGTGACGACTGACGAACTTGAGACTGGGCTGGGTTACCCATGTAACCCGGGTTACCCATGTAACCCTGAGGGAAGGGAGAGTGTGTTGTGGCAAAGAAACCCAAGTTACTCTGCGACGACGTGGAAGGCTGGACATGTCCGGAGTTACCCACGAAACCCTGCGTGGTAGGCAGCTGAGATGGGGCAGAGTAACCCATGTTACTCGGCACTGCCCTTACAGCCTCTTGACTCCCGGTGTGTAAAGGTGCTTGGCCGTGCAGGGACACCTGACCCTGGATAGGATTACCCATGTAACCCTGTGAGGTGCCAGGTGGTGGGCTGTTTATGACACCTTGAGTAGCTGTATTGCTTGTGTGCGCATCTGATATCAGCGATCCGCTAGTGGGAATTGGGTTTGAGGCGGCGGCTGCTGCTCGTGGCGAGCTGTTTTGCCTGTGTTGATGCGCGACCTGCGCGTTTGCGTCCGTCATAACGGCGGTCGCGTATTCCCCGTGTTCCTGCAGGGCTTGAAGGAAGGAGAATCCTTCCATGGGAGGTGCAGGGATGTGAGGAAGTTGGCTCATGTTCTGAAATAGAGAATGAATTGTTGTGACTCCCTGAGCAGAGATTTTAGCCCTGCCAGCTATGTGGGTGAGTGGGGGAGGGTGTCTGTATGTGTGAGTTTGTTTTATGTGAGAGGAGTAAAAAGATGGAAAGGTTCCGCTAATATGACGAGCAACGTACGTGAACGGATGTGTAAATAGTGGAACGTGATAAAATGTAACGAACTATTGTGATAACGTGTAACGAGCATAACGGGAACAGTAACGAATCTAGCCGTGATAACGTGTAACGCATGCGGCATAGTAACGGATGTAGCATGTAACGAATTAACGTACGTAAGTATAACGTGTTTCTTTGTGCGGAAAGTAATCTGAAAACGTGTAACTTAATGTGGCATGTCTGTAGTGAGTATAACGGGAAAATGTAACGAATCTAACGGTAATAACGTGTAACGTATGTAGCTTAATAACGGATGTAGCATGTAGTGAAATAACGAACGTAAGTATCACGTGTTTCAGTGTGCGGAACGTAATCTGAAAACGTATAAATTAATGTAGTATGAAACGTGTAAACCATGTAACGAATGAGACGAGATAATATAAAACGTATGTGGCGGTGATAGGAGATAGCGACTGCAGAATGTGCTACGATGTAACGAAAGGCCATGAAAACGTGAAACGTACGCAACTATTTAAACAGAAGCGAATCAAAAGAATAAAATGATGGCAACGTGTGTAACCTAACGGAATGCGTATAATTATTATAACCTGAATAAACAATAAAACTAAATATAGTTAGTAGGCGACTTGATGCAAGGAGCGTGGTATACTCACGCAGATGACGTCGCGAATGGATTACAGCGCCCCGTATCGATCGCCAGAGACGTTTTCGTCCCCGTGTGTTCAGATGAACTCCGTCGGAGCAGAGGACGTCTTTCCACGCATCTTGGATTCCCACGTGTTTCCAGAAGTGTGCTCGTGACTTGGTTGAAAGTTGTCTTCGTAGTTCGTCGTTGATAACGTCGACTTGGCCATTGAAAGATTCCTGGTCCGATTCCTGCTTCAGGTAACCCCTCTGTTTGTATGCTCGAGGGTAAAGCTGGCCCCAGTATAAGTGAATGCGACGGTTACGGCGGAGGATTTCATCAATTAAGAACAGGATGGAACGGATGACTGGTGTGGGATCGTGGCCAAGGCGAATGTCATTTTCACCCAACTGACAATATATGAAGTCGGCTGAGGAAACGGCGCTCCAAAGATCGGGAAATTGCCACATGCTGTGGACGTTAGCGCCACCTCGCGCTAAGTAGCGTACTCTAGATCCAGCAATACCAAGATTGTTGGGAAGGTCACTGTCGTCCCGAAGTCGACGGATGAAACTATGTCCCATAACTACAACTTCCCGATTGTCTGGTTTCATGCTGAACGTATGTGTACTAAGCTGCAAAGAATGAAGGAATAATGCGTGGGGTGAAGTGAGGGTATTGCGTGCTAAGACTTGGTAGTAGGAGGGGGTGTTGTAGAGACAAAAAGATGTGACTAGGCTATGAGCATCTGTTAAGTATTAAAGTCGGTTCTATTGAAGAGCTGGGTTAATGTGACGCTAATTAGCTCGTCCGGTGAAAGTTACGTAATGACCTAAGTGTTGTAAGCTTAGGTTACAGATTAGAGAAGACTTTGGAGCCATCTAATTAAACATGCATGTGTCCACAGATGTGGTGCGTGGGAATGGCGTAAACATATCCGAACTGAAAAACGTATAGGAAGGAAAGTTTAAGCGTAAAAAGGGGCTATGTAATGTGTTACTAACGACTAATCTGTAGTGATAGTGTAAAGGTGAGCGTTCTAATAACGAGAGGGATGACTATCGGGGGTGAGGTTCATTAGCTACGGATGCGTAAAATATACTAGTGGACGTGTATTAATAATAAGCTTCACCTGCATGTCTATTAAGAGCTAACGAGCGGGGTATGTAATGTGACTAAACGAACTACCATACAGTTCTGAGTCCGGTGCTGAGATCCTGGAGTGGTAAGATCGACGATCGGAGGAAAAAACTCAACGTCCATCGGTGTTAAGTAACGACAAGAGATATAATGCCAACTGTAGACCATGATAACGTAACGAACTGATATTGAACGAAATAAAGTGAGAGACTTACCGATCTGCTACTTTAGCTGTACTCAAATTGTCACTGTCCTCTATTGTTGTACGTATAGTAGTAAGCGTTGTCGACGGCTGCACGTCTCTCTATAGTTGACCGCTCGTGCCGGAGGCTGGATACGATCTGACCGCTACTGCTAAGATCTTCAACGCGCACATGTGGGTCACATGTCAATTAGGACGCGTAACGATTGGTCAAGATGATGTAAGAAGTGCGGTAGAGGCACAAGTGGCTGTATAACGGCGCCAGGGCGACTCCCTACTTATTATGTAACGTCATAAATGGGATTGCGTCTAAGGCCGCAATCTTGTATTTGTCAAAAAGGTTAACAATATACAAGAGTCAAACTTCAGGTGAAAATATTCAAATTATGAGAATCAAAGGAAAAGGCAGGAACACTACAGGAAGCACAAACAAATTGCCCAAATTCTTGTCATTGCTTGGAGATCCTGATCTGCTTTCAAAGTAAACCTCCACCTTGGTATGATAGCAAAAATTTTGATTGGAAATAATGTTATATTCTCCATTTTCATATAGCTAAAAAAATGTTTCTCATCTTACATAAGAGATCGTCTTTTAAAGCACAATTCATTTCAGTTAAAGGACAAAATAAGCATTCTCTGCTGCACAATGCATACTTCCTGCCTTTAAAAACAGAAAATACAGGGGAAAGATGAACACAGAGTTACTGAGTACTACTTTTAAACACTGATCTCATCATTTAAAAACTCAGTCATGCGTTTTATTCTCAAAACAATGGTTGCTTCTTTTTTTCTAAAATTAATTTTGCCATTTATATATTTTCTATCATTTAAATTTTTCATATATCATTTAAATAAAGAATGGCCCTTCTTAAGGCCAAAATCAATCACATGTGATTACTTAGTGTTTTGCTATTTAACTTATTTACCCCAGTTAGACGAAAGAGCACTAAACGGTCATTTAATGTTTCTTTGCTTACAACGCCAAAAAGAAGAGATAAAAGCAAAGAAAATTTCTTACTCAAGTCGCCTTTTCAATTGAAATGCCAAGTCCTTCCAGCTCTCCATTTTAGGTAAAAAAAATGTCAACTTGACACCCGCAGGCCTAACAACACAATCACTACCAATAACTGAGCCAAAACATCCATCCCATTAGCAATGACACCACAGCTTTTTTAACGCAATATTTTTTTCAACTTTTATTCAATTTTCCATTAGCATCATTCTTTAACTGACCACAAGCCTAGCAATAGAACAAACGCCACCTAGCGAACCATCAAAACATCCTGGCCATCATTTCCAGGCCACAATAACCAACAAAATAAAATGTTCCCAAACAACAAAATACAAAGTTTACCCACTTTCCTCTAATAAACCCCAAAGAATGCAACACCTTCTTCTCAAATTAATACACTAAATGCCACAAACCTCCGCAAAACAAACACGTAGAAAAAACCCTCCACCACACAGGTGTTGTCTAATAGCCCGAGGGTGATCAGAAGTCACGGTGACAGACATCAAAGCCTAGCCTCTGTTTGAATTGTGTTCTCTGTGTTTGTTAACACACAAAAACAGAAGTTTGATGTCATTTACATCTGGAAACTGGGGACCCAGTGGCAATGCACTGGCAGAGCTAAGGATACAGGACACAGATTCATCTCTGCTCAATTTTAAATAAAGGCCCCTAAATGCATTATACTGTTTAATAAACAGCGCACCTGTTTTTCAAAGGGTCAGTATAGAAAACAACATACAATTTACTGTTTTGTGAGCTATGCAATCAAAAAAAATTCACTGCACTGACAAAAAATGATCTTACTTTGTGGGCCAGCACCTGCATTCTTGCCAACTTATACATTTATTAATTTTCAGGGAAAAAAGCTATTTAATTTCGCTTTGAAAACCAGGATGAACAAAAGATCTTAAAATTCCATTCACTTCTGGCAATAAGAGGTTCAGTTTATGTCCTTCGCCAAACATTTAGCAAGCCTGCTTTGTAATAAAAGATACTGAATTTGCCAGTAGTAGTGTTTCTGGATAAGAGATATTTGGTCTAGAGTGTTGTGTCATTTACCCTCCTATATCTGCACTGATCACACCATCACACATTCCTTGTACACACAAATGTCAATCAAATGTCAATTAATGACAAATACTTCACACCTCTCTGGGTAACTGAGACGAGCAGTCACAATGAGGCTGCGGTATTATGTTCGGCATCACCAGGCCCGCAGCCAGCAATGTCAAAAGGGAGGTTCTTTTTCTGAAAAAGTAGACTGATTCTTCCCTTTCATTTACCCATTTCGAGAAATGACATAAAACTTGGATCAATTTCGATTCCGAGAGAATGTTTCTGAAGAAGGGGTGTTTTATTTAAATGCCGCCCCATCTCCCCTCCGCATATGGCCAAAGAAGGACAGACGTCCTAATTGTTAAAATGAAACTAACCATCATGTAAATAGGCTTCTGTACCTTCTGTCTGGTATGTGAATCCTAATGCCATGCTTATAACAGCTACCGCATGAGGAAACATGTAGTTATAAAAAATTGCAAACTGTTTATGTACTTTAACAAAAAGAGACAGTGAATACATTTACATCAGCAATATGGTTGTTTATCTGAGATGCCCAATAAGAAACATTAATGTATAAAATTCATCGGAACTTTCTGAAACTGGCTCTGTTTGCTGGTCTGATTGTTTTTATTCATGTCTATTCATTTATTTGTTTACCTGTTCACCTGGATGGTTGTGATTTTAAATGGTATACATTTATTCTTAACTTTTCTCTTAATCAAGCATATAATAAGTCTCCAATTTGTGCTTGTTAACCAAACTCGTTCAACATCACATAATGTAACAGGGTCCTCTAAAAAAACATTAATTTTCTTTCATCTGCCTCAAATAACATTGTGCAAGGCCATTTACAGGTTTAAAGTGCTATTTCCTAAATTACAAACATTTCTTTTACCTCTGCAGGTGCTAACTAAGGACATTTACCATTTACATTTATTAATACATTGAAATTCATTTGCTTTTTTTTTTTTCTTTTTAAACTTCAATTAGGGATGTCTTTTTTCTACATTAAATGAAAAACACAAGTAAAATTTATCATGTTGTCATATTTACCAGGTTCTTCTCATACATAATACAGACTGCTGCAACTTCATGTACAACTACTCTTGAAATACGTGTAAGTAACAGGAGATTTAGGGGGCAAAAAGTCCCTTTACAGAAACTTGTCTGTCTGCATGAGGAGCATTTCATTTGGAATTTACCCTTTTTTTTCGAAACCAAAAAAATCTTTAATTGTCTTCAACAAAACAATAGGGTTTAAGATAATTCTTGCCATTTTCTGACAGACATAATTTGTCAGTAGCAAATTAAACAAATTGTGTTTCAACAATGTGTCTTTGAAATAACTGTGACATCTAAACAGATAGACATCTCTATGCTAATTAAAAATTCTCTCCCCAATATTTTTTGCCCAGATCTAGTCACGAGTCCAACAAGAGACTCAGTCTGAATAAAAGAAATGCATCAAAAATTCCAATTTCCTTTTTGTATTCAATTCCAATGTATGCAAGCTTGACTGACAAGGAAACAGCCAAAAAAATTCAATTCTTATAGTGTGCTACATGAAAAAATTTGTCACATTGCCGAATCTATTTCATCAAAATCAAATATGTTACTGATAATTTTGTGGAATACTAAAATATGAATATTGATCGGTAATAGCAATCCTGGAACAGAAAATCCTGTGTTATATTTTACAGGCTCAAGCCAGATGGGGAGGGGAAAGGGGGGGGCAGAAATGGTCAGAACTGAATTGAAACTGCTACATGACTAGAGTCCCCAGCCCCCCCCCCCCCTCTTCACATATACGTACTACCGTACATTTAAATTTTCAGAAACAAACTAACCGTGTGTACCAGGTCTCTGTCGTACCACAAAGGTACATCTAAAGTTCAGGAGGAGTGACACACATGCAATCCAACAATTATACTAAAATTGACAAAAAGGTGTCACCAAATCTCACACCTGTGTATAATGACAAATTATTTCAAATCATGCGACTTCTCCCACTTACAATGATGACTACAAACAAGGATTTAATTCTAACTAGTGTACATACATTTATGAGATCATTGTCAGGGTCGTGGAGTAAATCAAAATAATGAAGGTCTTATGGGTAACTCTACAGGACGACTTTAACACATTTGACATCATGCCAAAGGGTTTAATTTACAGGAAAAACTCATCCCCCCATTTGTAACAATTATCTTGGCAACATAAAAATGACCAAAGCATAACTTCGACTGTAAAAATTAAAAAATCCACGTCAACGTGTTGTTCTTATGAAATTCACAAATAACCCCCCTCCTAAGAACCCCCTCATCCTTCCCCCCANCAAATGTCTGGCAGCCACTTAATACACTTCTACCGCCTTGTTTGTGCGATAAGATGCAAATGTTTTTCTTTTTTCACTGCTTTTTTGTTTCGCTTGGCTGCACTGTTTTAATCTGCAGTTGCTCAGTTTTTATTTCTCTTTCTTGCAAATATCTTGTCACATTGTATCTATTTGCAATTTCTTCAGACTTTTCCACATTTGTCAAAAGTACATTTTCATCAAATGCACTAACTGACACAAAAAAAGCTAAATAATCAAGTCACTGAGTTAGTTGTTTAATTAGTCCACTTTTTAGGAAAATAATTTCATTAAATATCACACAAGAAAAGAAATCAAAATGGATGACTGCTGCTGCTGACCAAACAGCCATCTTAGACAGCAAGTAAACTTGGTAACAGTGCAAAGCACAGTGGAATACTGTTAAAATGTAGCAACTGGTCAAAGACAAAAACAGCAATTAACAATAATCTTCCTACAACAAACTGTCAGTCTTCTGTCACCACAGACTACTAGTGAGACACCAGTCAGCAATGGTGTTGGTGTCCCAACGTTGCTAGATCTCTCTCCAACTTGGTACCATGATGGCATCAGTTGACTACACGTCCTGACGAAGACATCAGCGATGAGGGTTTCCCCACGTACTGCCCTCTTCTGCTCTTTAGTGAGGAGTGGAAGAGCAAGAGATTCAAAAATCACAGCAACACCACCAAGTTCAACTCACGAGAAAAGGTTCTGAGAAAATTACCACTCTAAGGAATCCTGGGAATGAATTTCCAGGCTCAAAGTTGTCATCATCTCTCCTCACTTCAACACCTGATCCTGAGCTAGGAATAGCTCTCAACCTTCCACAACCTCTGCCATCAGTGTAGACATGGCCAATACATTTGGTTCACTACCAAATAGCCATTGCCAAC